GATAATATTGCGCGAAAGAATATGGGAGACTACCATTGCCATCACTGAATTGTTTGCCGTCTTCAGATAGTCATGTTCATTCATAAGTGGTGCACCACCCTAAGCTAATAAGCCAGAAGGGGCCATTCCAGTCTCCCATTTCTATTTCAGCAATACTATCTGCCCAAGACTGCTAGCCGCTACGGCTTCTGTCAGGGTCCGAGAACGTTCATTAATGAGGACCAATAATTTTTGACATAACTTCAAACCGCACCTTTGAATATTAGGTACATATGTGCCATCTTCCCTTCCAATGGCAGTTTCCTTAAGTTAAATGAGGAATATAAGACCTACGATAATGGCTTGGAGTATTCACTTGCCAATTATCTCAAAATCTTTACCAGTATATTGTTCGGATCCGATAACTCGGATTCTCTGAGACACTTAAGCTATCTTTCCATGTCAGGTGCGACGAAAATTGTACATTCGAGCACTGGACCAGCGTTTAAAACGGCACGGTTGATATCGTGAGACGAAAGCTCGGTTCCCATAGTGAATCTCGAGGCAAAGAAACTGCCCAAGTGCTCGACTTTCTGGCTATTTTCAACAAAATCTACGCAATAACAGTAGTGGATGACCAAATTACTATCGATAAATAAAAGCTCTTCCAATTAGATCGACTGAGTAAAAAAGACAAAGGAATAACAATATAATTCTATTGAAGAAAAATCATATTTGATCGCAGGATTGTCTTCTCACGTGACCGCGAATCATTATGGGTAAAATTGAAGTGAGAAGAGCAAAAAATCTGCATGCCTTGACCAGATGCAGATGGGTAAAAGTTATGATTTCGAGGACGGAACCAGTCAAAACCCGGGTTGTGGAAGTGAAGCAACCGAATTTTCCGTAAACGTTCTGGACATTAAAAAGTTAATGCTATCAGAAGTTAACTTGGCGTCAGCTATGGGATTTCGAAAGCAGTTTTTCCCTGAGTTTTTACTCTGCGGGAAAAGAGTTTGGAGACTTTTTCTTGCGCAAAGTTTAAATTGGGTTCGAATTTCAAGCTCTTTGCGTTTACGAAGATTTCTTTCTCTACCTTAGTCTAGAACAGAGGACGGGAACATTTTTGACTGAGGGAGCCAAGAAACCAAATATTTGGAAATATATTTTAGTTAGAGCCATATAATATATATAAATAAATAAATTTTTATATTTTAGGCCCGGAGGGCCTCGTCATTGCTTATTTTTCTTCGTTAAAGGCATTAATTCAGAAAAAAGGAAGGCGTGTTTACTTATGATATAAGCACTAATTCTACACACGTTTCCTAAGCGGGGTCAGCCATTTGGGAATTCCCATTAACACGATTTTAAAATGCATGGCGCGGTGCCAATCAGTGTCCTGAGATTTAAAAACAGACTTAACAGAACGGGTGGCAGCTGAAGTTAGCGCGAATCGACTCATGTAAGCTAAGTCCGATTCTGTGGAATACGAATTATTCGTTTAGTCCACGTAGTACGGAATTTTAGTCTTTTCACATTTGAGAGCACTAAGTACAACATTGGATTAGTAACGATAGGAATCAACACGGTCGGATGTTTGTTTACTGTCTATTCGCTTATAAATTTAGAAAAGCTTCTGAGAATGATCTGTTGATGATGAAGGGTTTGGACTCTGGCATAGCAGTAACGTGTACAGACTGTTAAACCTTGACCTCAAGCGAGGCCAGAGCCACATAAGAAAGCGCAGAAAAAGGCAGACAATAATGAAATTAGAAAAAAAATACATCCAAGACAAGTTGCAGTACCTTCTGGCAAGACACTGCAAAGACAACACCTGAAGTACAGTTAAAACAGACAGCCAATAGTAAATTCCGGCAGAAGTGTGGGTGATCGGTAATCAGAGGGAATCTGGTATTATGCGGTGTTAGGAACCTCGGTCAAAACAAGCTAATGGGCAGTGTAAGGAAAGCGGGTATTCATATGCAGCTGGACGGCGCCAAATATCAAGACGGCCACGTACAGACCAGCTGCGATGAAGCAGGTGGTGGAAACCATTGCGTACTTCTCATCGATGTAGGCAGATGGGAAACCTAGTGCCTCCCACTCGGTCATGTTTATTGGAATATCTTCCGCAAACGCTACGGCATTGACGCGCGTGAAAACACCCATCAGTACCAACATAATAAAACCCCAGACGCCCAAAACCAACATGCACGCGGACATCTTTAATCCTACCACGGCGGCCATGTCTGTAGGAAAAAAATCTTTAGATGGGCCGCTACGTTGTTTTTCTCATTCCGTCGACCGTAGTTCTTCGTTTTTCTGCCTTCGGTGCAGTCTCAAGGAGTGCATGCAGGTCTTTCTTGAATTCTTGTCAAGATTGAATTCTATTAAATGTCAGTATTTGGAATTTGGAATTTATATTTTCAGCTCCGGTACGGCACTATCTGTACAAAGTTAATTTCGAAAAAATAAAAATTCAAAGCCAGTACGGCACTATCTGTACAACGTTAATTTCGAAAAAATAAAAATTCAAAAAAATAATTTGACAATATGTGCAAATATACGTAGAAATTCGTAATAATGTTAGCAGAAATTGTCCTTTTGGGGCAACATTTGGCAATGTTTTGCAGGTAATTGTGACCTTAAAAGCTAAACTTATGGCAGTTAAAAATGTTTTGCAGGTAATTGTGAACTTAAAAGCTAAACTTATGGCAGTTAAATTTTGTAGGTAATTGTGAACTAAAAAACAAAAACTTATGGCAGTTAAAAAAAACTCTTACAGTGAAAATGGAGACAGTGGTCAGCGGGCCTCCATGTTCAAAAAGTGTGTAAGAGAAAAAACTGCTTAGGAA